TAGTTGTTTTATAGTGTCCTCTCTCGCCGATTATATATCAACGAATCAGGATGAGCGATAAACGGAAGCCACAACAGACTTTGTTCAACTTTTTCCAAAAGAAGGCCAAATCAGAATCAAATGTAATAGCTGAAACTCAAAGTACTGACGACACTGACGTAGTTGAGCCCGCAGTTGAGGTTAGTACTGCAAATTTTAATTAAAGCCTTTAGCTATTTTACAATTTTAATTTTAGGAATCTACTTCAGAAATGTGTGATTCTAATTTGCAAACCACAAACTCAAGGGATAGGGACATATCCTTTTATAAAAATAAAGAGGCATTTAGCGATAAAGATAAAATAGATATTTTACAAAACTTGAGGACCCCAGGAAGAAACTTTGATTTTCCAGCCACAAAGTTCGGTACGAAAATGAGGAAATTTAATTACGCATGGCTAGAAACGTATAAATGGCTTGTTTATTCTAGATTTGACGATGGTGCTTATTGTAAATATTGTTTTATTTTCGCACCTCAACAGATTGGAAGTTCTTCATCGCAAAATACCGGGCAGCTGGTAATTAGTCCGTATCGAAATTGGAAAAATGCTTCGGAGCGCTTTCAGGCTCATCAATATACTCACTATCATCAATCGGCTACTACAAAGGCTGACAATTTTTTAGCAATCAAATCTGGAAAGATGCAGTCTATAGAAAATCAAGTTGATGCCGCTAGGGCTCAGCAGATTCGCGAAAATCGAAGGAAATTGGCTCCTATTACACAAACTGTAATATTATGTGGACGACAGTGTTTACCTTTGCGCGGACATAGAGATTATGGAGAGTTTAACATTGCTTCTGAACCCGAAGAAAATGAGGGAAATTTTCGTGCCTTGCTAAGAGCTCGCATTGAAGCTGGAGATAGTTATCTTAAATTACATTTTGAGACATGTGGCCGAAATGCAACGTATATAAGTTGGAGGATTCAGAACGAAATTATTGAGGCATGTGACATAATAATAAAGAAAAAAATTACCGATGAAGTAAATGCTGCAAAGTGCTTTACTATATTGGCCCGATGAAACTGCTGACATATCATCAGTAGAACAACTTTCGCTTTGTGTGAGGTATCTAAAAGAGTATCAACCAAATATGTACAAGATTTGTGAGCATTTCCTACTGTTTGTTCCTGTACCATCGACGTCCGGAGAAGCTCTAGCTAATGAAATTATAAAAGGAATACAGCAGTGCAATATAGATATTTCGTATCTAAGGGGTCAAGGATATGACGGGGCTTCCAATATGAGCGGCGCATTCAAAGGTGTACAAGCTTTAATTTGTGAGCAGTACAAGACAGCTCTTTACGTACATTGTGTTTCACATAGCCTAAACCTTGCTCTTTCTAATTCTTCCGAAGTGCAAGTGATAAGAAATTGCGTTGGAACAATTGAGAAAGTATATGTTTTCTTCAACACACCTAAAAGACAATTGGTACTACAAAAACATGTCGAAGCCTTAATACCCGAATCACACAGAGATCGATTGAAGCAATTATGCCCAACCAGATGGGGACAAAGACACGATGCAGTAATGGTTTTGGTTCAGCTACTAAAGCCAGTTCATGCTTCGCTACAGGAAATATCTTCATGGAAGGACAAGGATTCCAGTTCAGGAGTATGTATTCTTATCAGTGCACTAGGTCAATCCAATTTTATTATTTCTCTTTTATGCTTAGAAAAGCTTCTAAGTTTTACTCTTCCGCTCAGTAAAATTCTTCAGACTAAAGATATTGATCTCGTATTTGCAATTAGTAATGTCGAAGATGTCATCGCATCCGTACGAATATTGCGAGAAAATGCTGATAATGAGTTCAGTAAAATTTTTGAAGAAGCTGAGCAGAAAGCAGCAATATTTGGTACTGAGATTGAAATGCCAAGAATATCGGCGAAACAAATGCATAGAAGTAACATACCCAGTGAAAGCTGTATCAAGTATTACCAGATATCAATATTTCTGCCATGGATAGATTCATTTTTATCTAACCTGAATGACAGATTTTCAAAACATAAAACGATTCTTAATAATTTTATGATGCTACTGCCTAACGGAAAATCCGTTAATCAGAAGCAAATAGACGATTTCCATAACTTGGTATCCTTTTATCGTCAAGATGTACAGGAAACAAGTAAGAACGTCTTAAAAGCAGAGCTACGTTTATGGTACCAAAAATGTATTAAATCTAGTAGTGAATCAATTGGCCTTCCTTCCATTCCAAAGAGCCCAATTGATGCCATAAATATGAGCAATGTGGATGTTTATCCAAATATTTTTATATTACTCAAAATATTTTCAACATTGCCAGTATCAACAGCTACAGCAGAAAGAACATTTTCGACTTTACGAAGGCTTAAATTATATTTAAGAAATACTATGGGAGAAAATAGGCTGAATGGCCTTGCCAATTTGAATATTCATAGAGAGGTACATGTAGATACGGATGAGGTATTGAATATTTTGACAGAGAGAAGACCTAGGAGGCTGGATTTTGTTTTGTAAATTCCCGTTTTATTACCTACCTAGTTTGTATAGTTGAAAAATAAAAAATGTTCGTTAAATTTTCGACAGTTTGCTTATTTACCCCTTTTTTATTAGGGTCAAAATGCAAGTCTTTTAGACACATTGTGCCCCTCCCAGGCCTGAGTCCTGGGTGCGCCAATGCATACAATCACCACCAACATTTCAAGAAAATCGAATCATTAATAACTGAGGTATTAGGGTGTATTAATGGAAAGCGGGACACACTGTATACAGGGTGTAATTTAATAGATGGCTAAAAAGATAAGATATAGTTTGTTATCTCAATTTGAGAAGAAAAGTTTACATGAACATATGCCCTAAACCTCCTAACTCAAGCTATAGGCTGTTAAAATTTCTAGGAAATATTCAATATTCAATATTGTTTGAGATATTTCCATGAAATTTGACATGCACCTACTGAGCACTAATAATACTGATTTTCTACAAAAGTATGGTACGCCATTGCTTTTTCCAGAAATAAACATCATTTTTGAAATCGGTGTTTTTTTTTAAACAATTTGACGCATTGTTAGTTTTCCGTCCAACGGACCGTTTTCGCGTAAAAAAAGAGAAACCACTATGGCTAATTGACCTCACTTGAAGAAAATCAGACAAAAATACATCATACCTACAAACTACCACATGGTGCTTAGTAGGTACATGTCAAATTTCATGAAAATATCTAAAACAGTATTGATGTTATGATAAGAAAACGAAATTTGTCTCAAAATTTTAACCCCTTTCAGCTCGAAAGTTCAGAGGTTTAGGGTATATGTTCATGTGAGCATTTTTCTCTAGAATGCGCGAAGAGCCCCAATTCTAAATTTATAGACATCAATTAAATTGCACTCTGTATATATTTATCAAGGAAATATTAACAAAAAAAATATGTTTTTCTCCAAATGGCATAGAAAGTGGCTTTTTTATGAAACTTACAACAAAGGTGTACTTTCTCTGCCTAGGCAGAAAAAGTTTGTTGCTATGCAATGTTTCGAGTAATTTGAATGAAATTGGTAATCAAAATTGACACTGCCATTGGGTGAACACAAAATGATGGAGTTTTCAATAAAAAAATTATGCAATAGTTATTTATGTACCAAGGACGAAACACTGTCTAGTATGCAAATTGATAGCCGAGGCCTTAGCCGAGGCTAGCAATCAAGCGAGACAATAGACAGTTTTTCACCAAAGCGCATATTACATTTTTTCGTCTACCTCAAACACTACTTATATTCACATCATGAACTTAATCATATGTGAAGTCTATTGGATTTCATGAATAATTAATTTGACAACAGCAAAAGACAGTTGTTGTCACCTCACTCTCCAGGCAGACCAGGGTTGCCAGTTCAATTTTTATTTCATCAGTAAATACCTTGTCAAGAAGTCATTAGATTTGAAATCAAATAAACCTATGACTCAAAACATTATGTAATTTTAGTAAATAGAAAAGTAACATATTTCCAACAAAATAGATACAAACAAAACAAACATTCTTATACAAAAATAAATCATATTCCTGAATCCCAATTCGAAAATACTCACAAATATCACAAATTACAGTTACATAGTTACATTATAAGATTTGAGTACATAAAAAACAGGAATGAATAGTACAAATGAACAACAAAAATGCAAAACAAATAAAAAATTCAAATGTAAGAAACAAACTGTTATAACAGAGGTATATGAAATATTGAATTTGATCTGAATCAGATAAAGTATTGTCCTTTTCTGTTTTAGACATATCATTAGTACCATCAATATGTACATTTATCAATTATTTTGTAAAATTAATTTATATAGAGCATCTGGAAAAATCATGCCATTTATAAGTTTATGTGATTAACTAAAGATTAATAATAATATAGGTTATTATGATAAAAAATTAGTGTCAAAATATTTTTTAGTAGATTATCGGTAGATTAAGAAATCTTTCAATAGATCACTTGGTAGATCAGTAGTACAGTAGAAAATTTAGTAGAACTGGCAACCCTGTGACGAAAAGTGTTTGTGGACAAAAAGTGTTTGTGGACAAAAAATGTTTGTGGACAAAGTGTTTGTGGACGAAATGTTTTTGTGGACAAAAAGTGTTTGTGGACAAAAAGTGTTTGTGGACAAAAAGTTTTTTGCAGATGAAAAGTTGGTGTCTGTGGAAGAAAAGTACCAGCCTTCTGAAATAGTTGGATTTTTGTTGGGAAATTAGATCATAAAATTTTATTTTTTGTAGAGGTCTAGGAAAAAAATAGTTTTAAAACATTTTGAGAAAAAAATAAATGTTTCACATGACAGCACAGTAGATGGACTGCCTTGGCTGAATTCTTAGCCTCACTATGCTTGCCTATGACCTATCAGCAGTGGCAGTCAAACTACTACTTTGCTGCCTAGTAAAACAAATAACTATTCCAGTCAAATAAGTTGTATCAACTTTTCAAAAAATCATACCTGGAATCGCAGGATATGTCCAGCATTATGATAGTGTAAATGCATGGCTTCATCACTAGGATCCCCCATATGGTAAATAATGTTACACTCATGGCATTGGGTAACACCAAACCTCTTCTGTCCAGCATCCAATAACATTTGATTGGCAGATAACTTTCTAATTTTTTTCTCAATACTATTACCAGTAAGTCTAGTCTCTTTTTTATGAGGAACAACTTGTGACCCCCCATTGAATATGGGAAAAAGCTTTGCATTTGTTTCTGCAGTGTGATTGAAGATGTTTTGTGTAGCATTTGGCATCCTGTCTAAGATATAATTCAAGTTCTTGGCACGTTTAGGACTATTCAGAGCTAAACCAGAGGTCTCGTCACACATTTGTGAAATAGGTGATAGTAGAAGGCTTGCAGGGCAGGCTGGTTGTTGATGAAGTAATATTGAACTATCTGAGGCTACAACAGAGTTATGAGCTTGTAGGACAATCTTATTGACAGGTACTTCTACAGTTTGAGAAGGTTCATCTTCAAGGGAAGATATAATGTTTTCAAGATTTGTGTTCAGCAAATCATTATCATCTGATACAAAATCAGTCATTTCAAATTCAGTTCTGGGCTTGCTTTTTTCTTCTTTCTCTAATAAAGTTATTTTACCATGATCAACTTCCACTTTGAAATTTTTGTTCATTGTCACTATGCCTTTGGATCGTGAAGATTTGAAAAACTTTTTGTTGTGATTAGGCTCTGTCTCAGGACTCACACACCGTTTTCTAGTTTCAAGCTCTGAGTGTGTGTTTTTACTCTTAATGGCAGGTACTATTTGTTTGGTATTTGGTTTTGGCTCTATTGGTTTCATGTTTTCTTTGTTATCAATGAGCTTAGCAGATTCAGATTTTGAATTTTTCAACACTTTTAGATCCAGAATGAATTCAGTAATAGCTGAATTTCCTGCAGTGTTAGCAGAACCAGTTCTAACCACTGTGTTCTTGTAACTTTTTTTCTGTTTAGGTTTACGAATTTTATGTCCAACATGTTTATTTATCTGGCTCATTTTTCGGCGGGGCTTGGCTTTACGACTTGTAGTATGAAAAGTGAAAGATTTTGATGCTGCCTCTTTTCTTTTCATGATTTTGTCCATTATGTTCTCAGTGTTTGAATAAAACCGGTTTGCAGGAAGAGAAACATCAATTTCAGGAAACAGAGTGGTACGTACTTTGGAACTTTTTGAATCTAACTTGATTTGTTTAGATTGTTCAGGTGATATGTGGGGGGATAGCTTACGCTTATTGGAAGGGATTTCTGAAAATTCTGAAAGAGATTTACGGGCAAGTTTAGGAAGTTTTGAGTTAGTACTGGATGTATCATGAGGTGTTTTCAGTTTGTAGGTAGGAGAAATTTTTGAAGGAGTTTCATTAATATAGGTTCTAGAATATCCAAAATCATTGAGATGAGGACTCAAATATAGAGGAGATATAATTTCTGTTGCCAAAAACTTTTGGTTCCCTGGAGTGCAAGCTTTGACCTCATCATTCTCAACAATTCCCAGTATATCATAGTCACTAACAGTGTCTGATTTAGATATTACACTATTGGGTACACTATCATCTAGATGTTGTTTCAAATAATAACAATTCACATCATCATTGTCTAAACTAGAATCAAAACTGAGAGGGCTGATGTGACCCAAATCAGAATCTGTCTCGGAAGCATCTGTTTCGGACGGGAAGAGTGATCTCCGTCTTTGGAACAGTTTTGTAGAATGCTCATAGGTAGAAGTTTTCTCTCTGGTTGCAGCATGCATTGTATGCTGTAACTTGAAAAATAACTCTCAAAGCTACTGAACTCTAATCATTGCTACTTAAATGAAAAATTTTCTCACTAAACATGCTGTGAAAACATGGAAAAACGAAAAAACATTATACCTGATTTTTGATGGTTATTTCGTCAGATTAGCAGTATTTTTTTACCTGCTGCGAAAGGACTTATCAGGTTAGAAGTCTTCAATGTCCAAAAACAAATTATTATCACATCGTTTCCACAAAAACATTCTGGTCACAGACGAACATACAGATGAAATTTATGTAGTAGAAATGGAAATAAGAACATTTGCCTCCCTTTTTATTTTCCTGGCGCCAAATGTCAACAAGAAGGGGATTTTGATTTGATAGGTCATTAAAGGTCATATGGCTATCAGCTGATTGGCGTCTCAGAGCAGGGCCGTAGATGGGTGTCGGCTTCATTCTGACACAGGTAATCAAAAAAGACTATCGCCTGCTGGGCATATACCTGTTATCCGTATATATTTAGTAGGTATATGCTGCTGGGTCGCTGGAGTTCCTAATAAATGTACTCGACACTGCTGTTTTGACGTTTTTTGTACGGACATTAGACAAGCAGTGACAATCAAGCATAACCACAAAGGATTTTGAAGCAAATCATATGTTTTGACTTTTGCCACACAAGGACAAGAATATGTTTTTTGCTTATATCGAATTCCATTGGTGAAACTGTGGCTTTATTCCGAATTCAACTGACAGTACTGAATCTGCTGAATTTTCATTCCGAAATCAAAAAAATTGACCGAAAGTGACAGATACTCGTGAGCAGATATACTATTCATTTCAAATATTTCGACTCAACATTCTGCTGATATTGCTGACTATCAAAAGGTAGTGTGGCTTCAGTGAACTCTCATTATTTTTGTGGGGAAAGGAATGACACATTCATTTCCGTTGTTTTTCAAACATTAAGTCTTGGCTTATCAATAATACATTAATAATATCATTTTGATATCAGAAAATGCCTGTTATATTTATTTAGCTCAAGCAGGATCATCTGCCTGATCAATGACAACTGACAAATTTCACCAGATGATCAACTGCTGCTGATTACTGATGAAAACGTGTTCCGAATTACAGCACTGTGATTTCGATTTTATATTTCGGAACACAGCTTTTCAGCAGAGTCAGTGGATCCACTGACAGTACGGCCAGTTGAATTTGGAATATAGCCTGTGTCGCACTATAAGTGTTGGGGTAGTTAGGGGTTGGTGTACAATGATACTCGAATCTGGTGTAACTTCAAGTATATAATCAACTTTTCGGCATTTGATAATACTGTCCTACTTTCTTGAATCACGTCTTCTTAAATCCACACCTAACACTCTACAACTAAGTGCTTTGAAGAGGGGATGAATCCTTGGCTTCCATACTCAAAGAACGTCAAATCCATGACGCGTTCCGCGTTGGACGTTATCAACCAATAATCAATGATCGTCCGATAATTATGATCCAATCAAAAAAGAATTTCCTTATTAGGAAATCTGATAATGTAGGTACCCGAAAATGAGGTTGAGGTAGAAACCAAAGATTCAGCAATTCAAAATATATATGTATGGATATAAACAATAAAACAATTTATGTTGCAATAATATAAATATACATGAAATGGAATGATGAAACAAGGTAGACCTATTCACGATATAACGATATACTGTGTGATTCCAGAACATAGGGATTGGCTTTACAACACCTCCCCCCTATTTTTGAAAATTGTACCGCTTCTGTGTACAATTTTCACCAATTCCACAAGCGGATTGGGGATTCGAATCTTCCTCGTTTTCCTGAGGCGGCTTGGAAATGTCTGATGTCTCTTTTTCTCGTTTTGTTGGGAGAAACTTTTTATATATTAGGTAACTTGCAACCAAAAGTATTGTCAAAATTAAAATTGAATACGTTAATATGTTATGAAAATTGTAAGAATAAACAAGATTTGATTGGTGTGAATCATACGAATTTTGAAGCTTCTGTAAGGAATCAATGTCAAAACTTATCTTTGCTAATGTTGTCGAATCATCGTGACTAATCATTAGTGGTTTATTTCCAAGAGATAGATGAGGTATGGCATAGTCTGAAATATTCAAATGTATTTCTTCCACTAAATCCAAGGGTGGAATGTAATCTAGAAGTATACTACTGGAGTATTGTTGATGCGGGTTAAGAATCATTGACTTCGTAAATGCTGTACAATTTGAAGATATATTGAACATTCCAGTACCAATGAGTTTTGATGATATTCTTTCGTTACTGTTTTTACAACTTATGTCGATGTATATATACATGAAATGGAATGATGAAACAAGGTAGACCTATTCACGATATAACGATATACTGTGTGATTCCAGAACATAGGGATTGGCTTTACAACATAAGTGCATATTTTGTATTCCATTGGTAAAACTGGTGTATCCCAGATTTTGCGAATTATTGGTTGGGCCGGCATTGGAATTTCACCCTAATAGTAACTCTCTCATTTTACCTTAAAGGAAAACAGAAAATATAGCCTCGAAGATTACCCTGGTTGTCGGGAGATTATGCGGAAGGCGTACCTAAAAAAGAATATCCCAGAATGCAGCATTCCCACGGTTTCAGAGTCCCTGGCAAAGTCAACGACAGTACAGTACGAGACAACATATAAAATTTGGTGGAAATTTTGTAAACGCAACAACATGGATTATTTGGAAGCTGGAGTCCCAGAGGTATTACAATTTTTGCAGGAGCTGATAGATCAAAAACAAGTCAAATACAATACTAAATGCACACAGGTCCACGTTAGCAATGATCTTGAACGGTGATTTAGGCGCAGATCCAAGGGTCAAAAGATTCTTTAGAGGAGTACTTAGGTTAAGGCCACCGGGGAGGCGGTACAATCATGTTTGGGACACAAAAATAGTACTTTCTCACTCAGAAAGTCTTCCACCTAATGAAGATCTTTCATTAAGGGCGCCGTACATTATGCTATTTACCAGCAAGTTCGATGCAATCAGATGCAATGCAATTTTGAATCGAACAATGCGCATGCGTCTATGATATTTCACGGCAAGTTTCATGCAGGTTTCGTTATAGAACCAGTCCTATTTTTCCTGCAATTTCAAGGCAAGTTTAGTAAAATTATTAGTAATATTCATCATAGTATCTTGATAAAATACTAATTTTCCCCTTAACGTGGCCTGAAACACCAAATAACCTCAAAAAGTACATTGAAGGCTCAAAAAACTTGAAAATAGTGAATATGAACAAGAAAATATGACAGGAATATCTCAACGTACGGCGACTCGCAATAAATTGAGAAAATTGCAAGAAAATTGCATTGCTTCAAACTTGCCGAGAAATAGCATAATGTACGGCGCCCTTTTTAAAACAATTATCGAGGAAAGTTGTCACGCTATTAGCATTGATAACCGCACATCGTATGAAAACGCTGGCTCGCATTAGAGTTGAAAATATCATTATTTCTGGAGAGGATACAAATACTCGTGAGTGATCACATAAAAACATCTTCTGCAAAAAGTATGCAGCCATCACTGCATATCGATCCCTTATTTCAAAGATCAACCTCGACTCTGTGTAGCATCAGCCCTTCTTCACTACATAGAAAGGACATTAGAAATGAGAAACGGCCAGGAATTTCTCTTCTTAACAACAAAGAAACCTTATCGGTCAGTATCGAAGTAGATATGGATTAAACAAACATTGGCAGTAGCTGGAATAGATATCAAGGTCTTTTCAGCATATTCCACGAGACATGCAGCAACGTCCGCTGCTCGTCAAAACGGAGTTTTCCTAGAAGAAATCCGGAAAACGGCAGGTTGGAGTGAAAACTCAAAAATGTTCGCCAAGTTCTACAACCAACCGTTAAAACCTTGTTTTGAGTTTGCCAAAGCAGTGGTGGAAAATAAAAAGACCGAGGCTGCAAAATAGGCAATCAAATTTAATGTTGTATTCAGTTTTTGTTCGAAAAAAAAAAAACTACATCAGTTGGTAACAAGAAAGCTTGTGTGGAACGCAACAGAACTAGCTTTGAACAACTACCATGTGATTTTCGGAGAACGAGTAGCTGAAATATAATTTTACGATCAAAGGAACTTCAGGTGAAGTTCGATCGAAATTATATGAAGCGCCTCGTTCGAGAAGATCACTCCCTCCTCTCCCTGTACGATAGATATCGGGGGGTTTTCATATCAATATGATAGATGGCATAATTCTATCACCACCCCGTGTTTTTACTATCGAACAAGCTGTTTATTTAAATCATAGATCTTTTATAAATATTGAGGGTGAAATTGTTAAAAAAAAACCTAGCAACCCCTTAACTCCTGTTGCGTTGAGCTTTGAAGTAAATGAAAAGATGAGGGAAAGATTGACAGTAGACACTGAGTGGGGTGGCTATATGTACGGAGACGGGATAGTAAAATTTTGCGATTCAAAGTTTGTGAACTGAACCGCACAAGGGCGTTACTACCATGTGGTTTTCTCGAACGAGGCGAATGCAAGAAGATTGGATTCATGCAATCAATCTGGAGGACTGGTCTGACATGCTGACAATAGTGACAATCGTGTGTGTTGTAGACATTCTCAAATTTTCAATCTATTAGCAGTATTAGCTTGTATTGCAGAAGTGGCAGAAGGCGAAAGGAATCTTAATAAGGAATGACAACATTTCATAATGATAACTATGTGAGATTACTATCCACCTGAAAAATCATATTCTTTAGTCTCTTCTGCATTTTTTGTGCATTGTACAACAGCAAAATGCGAAGGCACGCTCGAATTAATGAATAGCGCAAAAAACACGATTCGTATGCCACAATATTGTGAAAAACTATTTCAATCCTTTGATTCCTCTGTAACCAAATAAAAAAGTGAGGTTGTGTTTCAATAATTCACAGAAGAATGAGGTTGTGTTTCAATATTTTGCCTCCAGGGTCGGTCATTGTGCACGCGACCTATGGAGGACGAATTTCATTTAAATTTATTATTATGTTGTACCGATGCCTGAAAATAATAATCTGCCGCGAAATTTTTTCCCATAGCAGAAAAAGTACGTCAAAGCATTGGAATGGGAAAAACAATCATTTTTATTTCTAAATTTCAGCGATTTGAGTGCTTTTGAAAATCGGCCGATGGTGGAAGGCGAACAGGTATACAAAGCAAGAAATAATGTAAATTTTTTGAAGTGAGAAGTATACAGAAACTTGAGATCTTTGAGCTGATGGTGGTAGAAACTTCTGATGCTTTGAAACTCTAAGCTCATAGTGAAATTTTGGCTTGTCTATGCTGAAGCCTCATGAAGTCAATTATGCTTCATTGATCCTTTTGCTTACTGAAATTTCAACCACATTTAGGTAGGCAAAAAGAACTGCAGAACTGAAAGAATTCAGTTGTGAAGCTCACACCCAAGCAAGTGGTGAAGGAAGTCAGGCATAGATGCAATGTATGAAGTTAAGCATACAACACTATAATTACTAGCTTTTACAATCAAAGGAAGACAAAGATTGAAGAAACTGTTGCATTTCCTACAAAATTAATCATGCTGTTGGTGAAAAAGAATAATTCTGAATTCTTGGCAAATTGTAAGTCTTATATAATTTTTAACTTCCAAGAATAGGTAACTGATATTTGATGTTTTCTAAACATCAAGTCTTGTTTTCATCAATTATGAATTAATAATAACATTTTTAATATCAGAGAATGCCTGTTATTTACAAAATTGACCTGAACGAGAAATGACAAACCGACAAATTTCACCAGCTGATCAACTTCTGCTGATTACTGCTGAAAACTCGTTCCGAATTACAGCACTGTATTTTAATTTCATATTTCGGAACACAGATTTTCCCCAGTCACTGCTCTGACAAGTGACAAATACTGACACTGACACTGACGTCAAATTCGGAAATATAAATGGCATTAAATGGCCGAGTGAAAGGATAAATAATTTATAATAAATTATACTGTGATATTATAGGTGTTTATATTGAGTTCATTAGATTCGACTTGATTCGTGAAATAGAATCTGAATCTGCCAGGTAAAGTGTAAACAAAGAATAAAAGAAGACAATCACGAAAGACGTGAAATTCTGGAAATGGGTGATCGATACAATATTCACAGTCAATTAGAACATTTGCAGTCCAAGTACATTGGAACAGGACATGCAGATACTAACAAATATGAATGGCTCGTAAACCAACACAGAGATAGCTTTTCAAGTTATTTGGGGCATCCAGATCTAATCAACTACATAGGAATATGTGAAAATGAAGCTAAGGCAAGAGTGAAGTTCAATCTGATGGAAAAAATGCTTCAGCCCTGTGGTCCACCACCAGATAAACCAGAAGATTAAATCCAGTATAATGAGTTTGATTATTTTTTTAATAATAATGGAAAGTACTCATTTGGGATGTTATTTATTTTGAATTACTCTTCTTATGATCATCTAAAAGTATTTTTTTGAAAATGATGATAACATGGCAGAAGTATTAATATAAAAAATCTCTATGAATAGGAACACAGTATGAATGCTTTCTATAAATAACTTTGGTGCAAATACTGACCATATAAATAAATGATGCCTAAATATAAGTGTCACTATGCAAACTACAATATGGGTATATAATCTGTAAGTAAATAAGGTTTTCCATACTATGTTTTTATTGATTCTCTTTTTTCTGAAAATAAGTACATGACAAAGTACTGGAAAAACATAAGTATGACAAAGCACTTGTGCAATAACAAAAATTGCATTATATTTTTCTAAACCTATATATCCTATTGATACATCAACACTAGCTAAGCTATTACTGTGTCCTTGTGCAAAAAATAAAAGGTTTCCTAGCAGTGAATGAAAAAATACATTTTCTATTTGCTTTAGATGTTTTGATACAATCAAACTAGAAAAAATACAATATGGCACTAAAATTACATTATAGGGTTTCAACATTAGACATGAAATTAAAATCCATGTTATAGTTCTTGATGTATGCAACAATACAAAGTGACATAATATTGAAAGCCAAATGATTCTACCAAGAACTACATTATCATCACTATTTTTGTATAGAAAAATCAATGAGAGTATTACAAAATTTGCAACATGAGTATACATAATTGCATCTCTCATGAGAATAATTTGAGCAAGAAATACCAGAATAAGTTCTAGAATGAAAAATAACTGATGGAAATGAATATTTTCCTCTTTTAATAACCAGTCAGAAATATCTGGCTGGTTCCCCCACATATCACCAGTGGAATTCATGTTCCTCAAAAAACGAAATGCTATCAGTAAAAATAATAATAAACATATATCCTGTAGGGAGTCCTGGAGACATCTCTGTTTCATTATATTGATGATAGAAAATGAGATCATGAGATTATAAAAAAAATACCAGTACTGGTGTTCTTCCTCAATGAAACTAGATGATATAAATGTAAGTGGTTGAATCACACTAAAAAGAACCAAGAATATGGTTGTGTTCTTGGTTGTGGTACTATTGAAATATCTTAAATGAGCTTGCCCAAGTTGCTCAGTAATTGAAGCATCAATGTTGTCTTGAACACCAGTACTGAATGATCTTGGGATACTATTCCTAGAAACTATTTGGGCTTGAATTCCAGGGCATAGTAATCCTGTTACTTTGATATTCAATGATTGCCAGTTGAGGACTAGCATTATGGACAGAATTATAAATACAAAAACTAAAGCATAGTGTGAAGTTAAAAAATAACTTGATATAAACAGAGACATAAATATGTTTCCAATACAATTAATTCTTTGAGGAACTCTACTAGCACCAGTAATTTGCAATATCAGTAAAGGCAATATACTAAGCATAATCATCAAAGCAAATATTATACAGCTTGATTTCTGTTCAGTGGACATTTTGATCAAACTTTGACTGATAACTTCTGAACAATATTCATAGAGTTCAATTGCTGTTTGAGCACTCACTTCATCTGAAGTTTTGAGGTAGTGCTCATGGTAAGCACTAGCACGCTCAAAATATTCTCTCCCTAGAGAGCTTTTTCTTCCTAATAACAAGGTGTTGTAATGTAACATATACAAATACTTTTCCAAGTTGAATGGTAGTAAATTTCTTTGTAGTCTACCAATTGTTGATGCAGGTATTCTTAAGCCTAATAATACTGCTAAGTTGACAGGTATATCAGTTTGGGGAAATGAGCTGCTATCACATTGATGTCCTATAATCAAGAATGGTACATGAGTTTCAGAATAAGTTGACCCTCCATGACCACCACTGTCTCTCATGCCATGATCACCAGTAACTATCAGAAGGGTATTATCATTTTTTGTTTTCATGTTATCATGGATTTTATGGACTATTTCATCCATTTCATTCAGTTTATTTGGTACTAATGATGAGAAAGGCCCATAAACATGACCAATATGATCCAATCCTATAAAGAAATTCAATTAACTCTTGAATATTATCTTTTGTTACAACTCACCTAAGTAATGTAGAATCATGATGTCCCAATCACTGTTTTCTAGCTCCATTTCAACATTTCTGGTTACATTATCATCCACTTCTGTGAAATCTTTCACAAAAAATGATGTTGTACCTTCATATCTGTAAAACTTGTCAGGAAAAAGCTTCAGCCATGTGTCATCCCCATAAAATACAACTTTCTTACCACTCTGTTGAGCAGAATGGATTATACTATCTTTTAAGATCTCTGTACTAGCTAAATTGAGTACTAGGTCTATGAATTGTGGTACGTTTCCTGCTGTCAAAGATTTAATACGTGGTAAAGTAACTGTTGGAGCTTCCACTTTGACTTTACAAAAACAACCATTTTGCTGCACTAATTTTGAAGTGAGAGGCATGTCATTTGTATTCACAAAATCTAGCCGAAGAGCATCTATAACAATTATAGCTGTTCTTCTGTAAGCAGAAGTATACATCTTCTCCTTATTCAAACTGATATTGTTTATTTGTATAGGTGGTTCATTATCCGGATTCAGAGGAACTTCAGAAACAGGAAAGAACCCATATAAAAATAAGAAAACACTAATTGTAACAAGAAAATACTGATTGAGCGACATTCGTAATTCCAATTTTATAGCAATGCTATGATAATTTTAATTATTTATTTATTTACACTCTATTGTGTTTAAATTTTGATTTTTAGGGATGTCAATGATGTCATTCATGATATCAACACTACCAACACTAGTCAACAGACCAACTGTTGAACTGTAATATTGTCCTTGTCCATTGTCATATTTGTCACTAAGTCACTAGTGATCACGATTAGTGACACTAGTAACTAGCAACGAATTCGTCGAAATCTGGTCAAAATTCTTGCATGGTGATCACTAGTGCCTGCAGAGAGAACGCAAGAAATAAAGTGCGTGGTGGGGGAACGCCTATGCGAGCGCGAGCAACTGCTTGTGTCAATCCCTTTTTTATAAAACGATTTTCAAGCATCTACAGAGGTTGTGAATCCGTGCGGCACGGTTAGGAGTAGGATGTAGGTAGTGAATTACGAAAGCGTGGAAGGGTCATCAAAAATAAAAGAATAAAAGGAATTATTGCAACTTGTAACGTGCAGCAATTCAATAACTGCAACTTACAGCTCGCAATAATTCAAAATACTGCAACATACAACTTGCAGTAATTGAATTACTGCAACTTACAACTTGCAGTAATTTGAATCACTGCAACATATTATATAACTAGCAGTAATTCGAAATAATGCAACATACAACTAGCAGCAATTCAAATCACTGCAACTTACAACTTGCAGAAACTAAAGCACAAAACAAAACAGGCTGAGAGGAAGATTAACTGAAGTTAACTCATAGATCAACTACTCTGTTAACTTAAATACCAGCTTATGGAAGTTAACCATCAAAAGCTTGGATTGCATCCACCTTGTTTTGATATTTTCATACCTTTACAGGGGCAATTACATAGGTACAGTTGTCTTCTGAGATCATGTCGCACATGAACGGTGTCAGGTCTCTTAATCACCGCTGCAATACGAGCGCCCATAACGTCCAACCGCGACATGTTGCTTGAAGACGAGTGTACCTAATAGAATGGATCAGGATGAGTTGGTTCAATTTTATTTTCACTTGGGATTAAGCCACAAGGAATTGATGGCTGTGCTAACATTGAACCATAATATAACAGTCAGTGGTGAAAGCAGCTTGAAAAGACATCTCAGAAATCTTGGACTGTATAGAATAAAATATTTAACAGATCTTACTGAAGTAATTCAGTTCCTTTCGTACTAATACTGGTTAGAAGAGGGTGAGAATTACTGCGAGTTGTGAGTTGCAGTGATTCGAATTACTGCTAGTTGTATGTTGCATTATTTCGAATTACTGCTAGTTATAAGGTGCAGTGATTCAAATTACTGCAAGTTGCATGTTGCAGTATTTCGAATTACTGCAAGTTGTAAGTTGCAGTAATTGAATTACTGCACGTTACAAGTTGCAATAATTAGATATTTTTTATTTTCGATGACCCTTCTACTCTTTCGTAGTGAATAGGCAAATTTCTTTGATGTAGCTGCACGAAATATCAGCTGATATTTGAAGTGATTCCGGTGGCGGAATCGGATAGATAAAACGCAACTATAATGTAGTACATTTTACACGACACTAAAAAGCAGACGAAAGGATCTAAAGTAAAGGGCCCTTCAGTTGTGCAGCAGATAATGGGTCGCGGCAGGAGGCTGTCGCTAATAATTGGGCACTGCCGCTGCTGGCTGCCGCCGCTGTATTATTTGACTCTAGTAATAATTAGAGTCACTGGATGGTATTAGTTTGATAAGAGTTCGGACACAGCTGAACTTTTGTCCTTTTCTATTTTCTATAATACAATGGTTTAGGTGAATAAAAGAATAAGACATATATTCTGCTCTTTGTCTTTTCAATTTCCCTAGTAGTGCCTGATTGTCAGATACGATTTCAGAGGTTATATTTTCTGTCAAATCAATCATAGCCGTAGATGGACAATGGGTATAGGGTACAAACACCCACTTCAATTTATAGTGATACACTTCTAACATCAGAACCAACTGTTATATAAATGAAAAGAATGCATGTAACAACATTTCAATATTAGAAAATATACACATATGGATAAACTTATAGCTATAATTCCTTATTATATGTGAAACTGTACTCCAGTGATGAGTATAAAACATGAAGTTATTTATATTAAATCAAAGGTAGATATTCTCAATATACAGGAAGTAAGATAAGTACTTTCAAGTGAAGTATTCCTGAGACAATTATAAGAAATAAAGTCTATATAAGCTTTTGTGTCCGGAAATGCTTCATTTCGTAGATACAGAGTGCTGAAATACAGAGAACAAATCATTTTTCGATAAACATTTGATAGGAAAAAAGTAGTTCAATTTGACGAGACCTACCAAATACTTGGTTTTGTAAAGTTCTCAGCAACTCCACTTAGCGCCCTAGGAGCTAATAAGTAACATGGATCGATATAGAAAATATCTCCAAAACATTAACCTCCAGCGTAATTAAGGCCCTCATAATAATTCCCTTGATACATAAATAACTATTCACTTTCCACTGTTGAATTTTAAATTTGGTCGGAACCAAAAACGCCATTCAATAATATATCACTCTGTAGTTTACTTGCTCTTCGTTTTCAAATTCTCAATTTCATTATGTAATTTTGCGATAATTTCCTCTTTTCCATGATCATCTCGTTTTGTATTTTGTGTGATGATAATATAATGGAATTTTGTTCTCGATATCGCTTGCTTTGTAAATTGATGGGACAGCAGATTCTCACAAACAGATTTTGAAATCTTCTGTTTGAAGATGGGCCTAAAATATAGTTTCATTCTAATCAGATGCTGTTATAAAAAGTGAATTTTAATGAGTAGGTACCTCACAAATTTCGCTCGTCTTCAAATTGATTTTGCACCCATCAGGCCATTTCAAATCTTCCTTCCATAAGCAAATGGTTGATATTTGTTTCGGAAAATTGAATAAATGATATCCATTTTCTTCAGAATTGGCACAATTTATTACACAGCAAGTAATTTCCATAGCTGCTTTCATCTCGAATGTAGAGTCCCTGTATATACCTTAGACAAGAGTCCGGACACAAAACTGACAGCCGTTGGGGTTTTTAATATTTTGTTTCATTTGGTTTGCCCACCTGATAATGTTACGAAACATCATAGTCGTCCGCCCGCTTTTTCTAAATTATTTCGAATTTCTGTCACTGTCACTATGAAATTTTATGACCGCCAAAATTTAGCATTTTAAATTATTTCAATGTCCTGCTGCCTACATTATTGCGATAATTCATTAGAAAAGGGATTCAAGTCATTCAATTTTCCGAATGATCATGGAAGAATGCAATGAAACGTCCAGAATGGAAAATTAATTTCAAGAAATCCGCAATATATGTGAGGTAAATATTCAGATTCACTTGTAAAAACAGTACAAAAAGAAGAATTTTAGGCCCATTCTGATAGAGATTCTTTCAAGCTGATGGATTTCAAATTGAAAGAATCTGCTGTGCCGTCAATTTATGAAATAGAGACGTTCAAGAAAAGAGTCCCGTCGTCATCGTATTGGGAATTACTGAATGATACGATCGCAGAGAAAGAAAATGAGAATGAGATGATGCGGAAAGAAATTGAAAGTTTGAAATCAAAACTAGAAGATTCAGAGAAACTGCAATGTGCTATGTCATCAGTCCACGGTGTTTTTAATTCAGATCAAATTCAAAATTTACAGGTGAATGTAAACTCCAGGAAGAGGTGGGAAACCGACACAATTAACAAAGCACTCGCTATCAAATATATTGTTGTTTTGATTTTGCCACTTTTATTTCTGATAAGTGTTATTGAATTGAGAGAATTGGAGAAAATTATATTGAAACAATAATTATATATCTTTTATTTTTTTATATCCCAACAGAAAACAACTATATTTTCTTGGCTATATCTTCCTTATCTAATAAAGTGAAGAAATATCTGATGACGAAAATTCGCAATAGCCATTTGATTATGAAAATTATCGATTGGAAATTTGAACACCCTGTTGTTAATTATTTGATGATTTAATAGTTATTCTAGTTAAAATAGCCCTATTTCTCACTTCTACCTACGGCTATGAACGGTTTGACAAATAATCTAACCCTCAAAATTGTTTCTGACAATCATTGATACTAGGGGAATTGAAAAGACAGAGCTCGATATATATGTCTTATTCCTTTATTCAATCATCAATGCATTTTTTGGAAACAGAAAAGGACAGAAGTATAGCTGTGTCCGGACTCTTGTCTAAGGTATATACAGGGACTCTACTCGAATGTATAATTATGAAATTTTATTTCAATTCTGACGTTTATAAAATGTATTGTCAAATTCAAACAATTTTTGAATGAAAAAGCGCGGGACGACTATAGTACTCTTGTCACAATGCAAGGTGTGAAACTTAATGAATCTAAACATTCAAAAACCCTAACCGTTGTCATTTCTGTGTGTGGTCCGAACTCTTATCAAACTAATAACATCCAGTGACTCTAGTAATAATGATTACAACAGCCGATGAGCCGACACCCAGAGCTCCTTCCTGTTCGGAGACGAGAATAGGTCAAGTCAACAGTCAACAAGGTCAGGTCAGTGACGTGAAAAAATTCATTGTTATTGTTGATATCTATTCAAAATTCAAACCAATTTCAAAATAGAATTCAGAATGGGAGAAAATTCAGTAGAATGGTAAAGTCTAAAATATATTGATGAATTAAAATTTTTTTTGTTCCATTGTACTTTTTAGGAATATCCTGATGAACCCTGACTACAAACTATCTAGGTTGCCCAGAATTGAGGTAGCTGAACATCCTTTGAGAAGTTTTACTGTAAATACTGAATACTGTTGAATCAGGTAGTGACATGTATTGAAACTTTTTATAGGTAAGAGAGAGAATTCCAAGAAAAATTATTGGTTCAGCACCTAGTACTGGGCGCACAACACCAGTGTCCACCCCTGTCCCTAGTACTGATCCCCTCACTATGGCATTAAAACAACTTGATCCACTATCTGAGTTTGTCATGCAAGAAATAGATCCTTTATCTAAAATGGCAGCAGAAATGGTAAAATAACTAGTACTACTTACCTTATCTAGCACATAAGTATCCTGAAAAAGCAGAATGAATTAATATGTGCATTTTTTTTCCATGGTTACAGTTCTGCAACTTGCTGAACTTCAATACCTAGTTTTTACTAAAGGTCTACAGTTATACAGGGTGTCCCATAAGTAATGGATCAATAGAAGTGGGGTGGTAGAGGGGGTCATTTTTAATCAAACTAATGGTATTTGTTGTTATTAAATTGTTGATGGTTCAAAAGTTATTCAATTTTCTGAAAAATGCCAACAATTTAAAAAAAAATAATAACAAAAAGGCTGTTTTGAATAACCCCATATGTTATACCATCTAGGAATCTGTATTAAATGGGCAACTTTTTCTTGTGATTGGTTATCTTTGTGGGGTAGTTTTTGAATCTGCCAGCAGCATTTAAAAATTGACTTGAATATTTCATTTGATGAAAGAACTCAAGGAAAACAATTTTTTCTCAAGTAATTGATGAGAAGTAATACATGTCATGAAATTATTTCTGGGAAAAGGTGCATCCATGTGGATGAAATTTGTAAAAGAAAAAATCACAAATGTGACATATTTTTATGGTAATTAATTATTTTTTTAGAAATGAAAAAACATTAATAACTTTCACACCATCAACAATTGGATAACCACTTATATGGTTAGTTTAATTGGAAATGCCCCCCCCCCCTACCACCCCACTCCTTTTGATCCTTGACTTATGGGACATCCTGTATACAACATAGAACAAACTTGGGAATGGGAAACAGAAAAGTTAATGTGTGTATTATATAATAATATGTGATAATTGAAGTATATGAGGAAATAATAATGTTCAGAAAGAAAAAGAAATTGAAGAAACTGATAGGGATAGGGAATGGGATAACAGTAGGGGTCAGGGGAACCTACCTGAAAAAAGGTGAGGAGATTAAAGTAATTACAGGAATTCAGCTCCCTAAACCAATATCAGTATAGAAGAGGCAGGCCCAAAAATGTTTTACTAATATACTGATAAAGAGTTCAAGAATAGAAAAATTCACAGAATTTGCTAATCTACCTACCTGTAGAAATTGTGAAACTTTATTAACAGAAAATGATAGTGTAGTACCTATACTTCTTTCACATTGTTTTAAATTTTTATTATTGTATGTTTTCACATTGTTTTAAATTTTTATTATTGTATGTTACGTACTTATGTTTTATCTTCTCTTTGTCCACAAGAGCGTTTTCTTCTGACAATAAAGAATATTCTGATTCTGATTCTGATTCTATAGCTATTAGATGTGGTATCATAAGACTCTTGTTCCACTTCAACTAAATTTCCGAAGAAAATCGAACTATTGTTTTGAACATTGATATTGAGTGCAAATTTGTTATATTTTCAGTCCTATATTCTTATAGTAATATACAATAATCATAATCAACTTTCTATATACTACAGTGTTTCAAATTTTAATCTGGAATATTTTAATAGTCTATAGAACATACAAATAAGAAGAAAAGTACATATGAATAAACTTCACCCTCAAATCTTGAAAATATTAGTTATTTATGTATTAAGGGAATTATAAGGGTCTTAATTACCAATGGCAAAGTTGTGGTAATTCAGAGTTGAATAATAAGCTTCCAGTAGGAATAGTTTTACTTTTAATCAGAGAAATACAACATGAATTAATATTCAGTATATGGAAACAATTACCATACGATAAGTCTCAATTTTTCTAAACAACACTATAGCAACTACAATATGTCTAATGAGTCATATGTCATTGATTATGTTCTATTTTATACAGAGCGTATATAACATATTTAACATACAGAGTGTATGATCAGAATTGCTTTATATCAACACTTCCCTTCAATTCTATAATATTTGAATACAAAAATTACTAACATTCAACTACATTCAATTTGTCTCTAAAATATTTAAATTTAACATGAGGTAAACCCTTAGTAAATATATCGGCTACTTGTTCTGATGTTGGTATATAAACTAATTCAATTTCACCTCTACATACACAATCCTTAATAAAATGATGCCTTACATCTATATGTTTGGTACGTTTGGTTTCTAGTGTACTAGCCATTTTCATGCAAGATTGATTATCTTCGAATATAACAATAGGATGAATGTCAGTTTTCAAAATCTCGTCAAGTAATTGAGCTACAAATATACATTCAGTTACACAAGCAGACAGAGCTACATATTCAGCTTCTGCACTTGATAGTGAAACAGTTATTTGTTTTTTAGTTTTCCAAAATATTACATTGTCAAATATCTTCAAGTTGAATCCAGTTATACTTTTACGATCATTTTTGTTATTTGCAAAATCTGCATCAACAAAAGCAGAAAGTATATTACTATCAATATGGTTATTATGTTTAACAAATTTCAATCCATAATTCTCAGTGCATTTTAAATATCTCAACACAGTTTTTAAATACATCCAGTGTTCTGTACTGTAACAATTCTGAAATTGACTGAAATATGAAATTGCATAGCTCAAATCTGGCCTTGTACCAAGCATCAAATACATTAGATATCCTATGAGCTCTCTATATGGCAAATTTACATTATTTTCACTCTTATTTTCTATCAAATTCAATTTTGGTTGAATGGGAATATTGATAGGTTTACATTCAGTCATATTAAAAACATTTAGAATTTTACATATCAAATCCTTCTGATTTATCACTAGACCCTCATTCGTTCTCATAATATTCAATCCCAAAAATATCATTTTAGAATCACTTGTCAAATCAGTCATTTCAAAATGTTTCATAAGTCCTTCCTTTACATGATTTATATTGAGCAAACATTTGGAGACGATCATTAAATCATCAACATGAATGATTAGATAAGTGCTTCCATTTATGTACAAACAAGGATCTGCTTGTGACCTGACAAAATCTAACTTCAACAAATGTTCATGTAATTTATCATTCCAACATTTAGGCGACTGTCTTAGACCATACAGTGCCTTTTTCAGCTTACAAACCTTTCCAAAAATATTTACATCAAGTCCTTCCGGTATGTACATATATACAGGGTTCTTCAGAATACCGTTAAGGAATGCTGACTTTACATCAAGTTGATGTATGTGCATATCCCCCTCAACTGCTAAAGACAGCATAATCCTAATGGTTATCATTCTGGCTACTGGTGCATAAACCTCTTCATACAGTTCGGATTGCAGAAACCCTCTGGCTACTAGACGAGCTTTCTTCAAAGTTCTTCCATCTTTTTCTTTCAGACGAAAAATCCATCTGGAATCAATTATTTCTTCTCGTTCAGGTACAGGTACTAGATCCCAAGTTTCGTTCCTTTCATGTGACATCAGTTCATCTTCAATAGCCTTTTTCCATCCATTATCAATTATAGCATCCTTGTAACTTTTAGGAATTTCAGGTGATATATTTTCAATGGACAAGGCAGCCATCAATTCATAATCATCGTAATGTCTGGGCATTTGTCTTCTTCTTGTGCTCCTCCTCATCTGATTCTCGTCATTTTCCTCTGGATTTTGAGTTTCTTCTTCTATCTTCTGATTTTCAGCATTCTTATCAAAATTTCTATTTACATTTTTATTGTTTCCTTCATCTTCTTCTGTTATTTGTAGTCGTACTTCATTTTCCTCAGTAGTTCCTTGGTTTCTACCTTCATTGAAGATGACACTACGTGCAATTACTATTTTATGTTTCTTGGGGTCCCATAGACGATATCCATTATCAGCATACCCCATCAGGTACATTTTCTGGCTCCGACAGTCTAGTTTGCTGGTTCTGTCTTCTTGAGGTATATGTGCATAGGCTTCACATCCAAAAATCTTCAACTTGCCAAGATTAGGTTTTACCTTATACCACATTTCAGCAGGAGTTTTATGACGTTCAAGAACTGAAGTTTCCGTTCTATTTGTCAAATAAACTGCTGTTCGCACAGCTTCACCCCAGAAATGTTTGTCCATATTTGCATCATATATCAGACATCTAGATTTTTCCATTATAGTGCGATTATATCGTTCAGCTACTCCGTTCTGTTCAGGATTTCGAGGAACCGTATACTGGATGTTGATTCCTTTCTGAGAGCAAAAATTTCGGAATTCTTTGGAAACATACTCCCCTCCATTGTCACACCTCAGTCTTTCTATTTTCTTCTCAAATTTTGCTTCCACCATGGCTACATAACATCTGAACTTAATGAAAACTTCACTCTTGTTCTCCAAGAGATAGCAGATGGCAAAATGAGAGAAATGGTCTATGAATGTTACATAATACCTTTTACTGTCTACTGTAGGTGGAGAGATGGGTCCGCAAACGTCAGATGATACCACTTCGAGAATTCTTTTCGCCTTCCTTTCTTCTGATATTGACTTGAAAGGAGCCCTACTGTGCTTTCCTTGTACACAAGTTTTGCAGAATTCTGTAGTAGGAAATCTAGAAGAATGTCCCATACGTCGATGAAATAGGTTGTTATTATTCTCAGCTAGATTAACTTCATTTGTACATAGTTTGAAATTCAATTTATACAAATTTCCTGTTAGGCAGCCTTCTGTAATAACCTGTTTGTCCTTGATAATCTTGACTTTTCCTTCTTCAAACGAAATTCTTAGTCCCTGTCCTTCCAAGTTCCTGACAGATAGCAAATTATGAGACAAATTTTCACATTCCAAGACATCTTCCATGACAATTTGTTTTCCATCACATGTTTGCAGATACAAATTTCCTTCTCTGCGTGCGATTACTGCTTCTCCAACTTTTGCGACATTTATTTTATGATGTACTTCTTTCACGTTCCTTAGAAATTGTCCTAGAGTTGAGTTCACCAGATGATTCGTTGCACCACTATCCACAACAAAGCTGACAATGTCTTTGTTGTTTCCTGATTGACAAACTTGTGCTTCTGCAATTGTCTCGTTTGAGGTGAGAAATGCAATCACTTCCTCTTCTTCCTCTTCTTCCTTCTGAACTGCATGACATCTAGGTTTTTCTCC